TTTATCTCCCTGAATCTATCCCAATATAAATAAATAAATAAATAAATAAATAAATAAATAAATAAATAAATAAATAAATAAATAAATAAATAAATGTACAGGTAATCCCGTATCTGTATCTAATTTTCTACAACAAATATTACATTTAAAATGTTTAGCCCAACAAAGATAAATAGATAGATAAATAGATAAATAAATAGATAAATAGATAGATAAATAGATAGATAAATAGATAAATAAATAGATAAATAAATAAATAATATAAATAAATATAAATATATTTATTTACCTGTAATAAATGTACAGCTAATCCCGTATCTGTATCTAATTTTCTACAACAAATATTACATTTAAAATGTTTAGCCAAACATAAATAGATAGATAAATAGATAAATAAATAGATAAATAAATAGATAAATAAATAAATAAATAAATAAATAAATAAATAAAGATTTACCTGTAATAAATGTACAGCTAATCCAGTAGCTGTATCTAATTTTCTACAACAAATATTACATTTAAAATGTTTAGCTTTTTGATGTTGTATAAGAACTTTCTCATCATCAAATCCACGATCACAATAATAACAAAAAGGTTTTATACGATTACCTCTTTTCTTTTTTCTTCCCATCTTTATTTATATATTTATTTATTTATTTATTTATTTATTTATTTATATAGGGAGGGAGGGAGGGAGAGAGAGGAGAGAGAAAAAAGGGGAAAAAATCTCGTGTTTATACTGTTTATATATCTATTTTTATTGTTATTTTATGTCTATTATGGTGCATATGCAGCAAATGCAGCAAATGCAGCAGCAAATGCAGCAGCAAATGCAGCAGCAAATGCAGCAGCAAATGCAGCAGCAAATGCAGCAACAACAAATCCACGAACAATTCTACCTATAATATACCACAAATATATATATATATATATATATATATAAATATATATTTATATTTATATTTATTATTCACAATTATTTATAACAACAACAACAACTCTCCTTCTCTTTCTCGTGCTACTCCCTCATCCTGCTGCTGCTGCTGCTGCTGCTGCTGCTGCGGTAGCAGCAGCAACAGCAGCAGCAGCAGCTGCACTCCTACCCATATGTATATACATATATATGGGGGCTTTCTTTATTACCCGTGCTATGCAGCAACAATATATTATTTATCTTGTTCTTTTTTCTTTTTATTTATTTTATTTATTTATTTTATTTATTTCTTATTATTTTCTTTATTCTACATTTGCTGCATTTGCTGCTGCTGCTGCTGCTGCTGCTGCTGCTGTGAGGAGGGAGCAGGGAGGAGAGAGGAGAGGGCTGGAGGAACGATCGCATCGCAGCAGCAGGAGCAGCTATTATTCTCTTCCCTCCTACTACTACTGCTACAATAATTAATTAATTAATTAGTAGTTTATTTATTTATTTATTTATTTATTTATTTATTTATTTATTTATTTATTTATTTATTTATTTATTTATTAGTAAGTATATAAATGATTTAATAGCACGAGGAAACAAGATCACAAACCGTGCACGAGGCCAACCAGGCCTCCTCATCCTGCTGCTGCTGCTGCTGCCACCGCAGCAGCAGCAGCAGCAGCAGCAGCAGCAGCAGCAGCAGCAGCAGCAGCAGCAGCAGCAGCAGCAGCAGCAGCTGTTGTTGTTGTATGTTGTGGGTAGGTATAAACAAATAGTATATTTAATTAATTAATTATATTTGTTAAGGTGTCTCTTTTGCTACTGTGGGGTGTCTCTTTGTCTCCTTTCTGTCTCCTTTTATTTCTTGTGTCTCCTTGCTGCTCCTGCTGCTGCTGTCTGCTGCAGCAGCAGCAGCAGCAGTACACAAGCAACAAAATATAATAGGTATAAATATGTGTAGATCTGTCTACTTATGTGTCTCCTTTTTATTTACTAGCTATATATAATGTATATGTCTCCCTCCCTTATAAATAAATAAATAAATAAATAAATAAATAAATAAATAAATAAATAAATAGGGAATTAAACAATAAAATAAATAAAATAAATAAAATAAATAAATAAAAAGAATTAAATAAAAAAAAAAAAAAAGAGACAAAAGGAGACACCTTAATAATGCCCCTGCTGCTTCTCTGCTGCAGCAGCGCTGCAGCAGCAAAAGAGAGACGACACAAATCGTCTCCTTATGTGTCTCCTTTTCTGTCTCCTGCTACTAGCACCTACTTGGGTCCCTATCCCAGCCCTGTTGCTGCTGCTGCTGTTGCTGCTGCTGCTGCTGCTGCTGCTGTTGAGGTCGCTGCTATGGCAGTACCACTGTCTACTAATGCATGCATGCACACTACTAAATGCATGCATGCATGCATGCATGCATTGCTGTTGCTGCTGCTGCTGCTGTCTAAATAAAAGTTCCTGTTTACTGTTGGACAATATAAGCAACAGCAGCAGCAACAACAGCAGCAGCAACAGCAGCAGCAGCAGCAGCAGCAGCAGCAACAGCAGCAAAAGTGTCTCTCAAATAAAAAAATTAAAAAAGAATAAAAAAGAATAAAAATGTTTATTCTTTATTTAATTATTTATTTAATTAATATTTATATTAATTAATTAATTAATATAAATATAAATATTAATTAAATAAATAAATAAGCAATTAATTAATTAATTAATTAATTAATTAATTAATTAATTAATTAATTAATTAATTAAAACAATAAAAACAAACTGACAAAATAAAGAGAAAAAGGAACAAAAGGGGACAAAAGGAGAAAAAGGGGACAAAAAGGAGAAAAAAGGGGACAAAAGGAGACAAAAGGAGACACAAAGAAGGAAAAGGAGACAATAAGACAATAAAAAGAGAGAGAAAAAGGAAAGAGAGAAGAAAAAAAGAGACAAAAAAAAAAGACAAAAAAAAGAGACAAAAAAGGAGACAAAAAAGGAGACAAAAAAGGGGACAAAAAAAAGGAGACAAATTTATATGTGTCTCCTTTTTATTGCCTCTTTCTTTTTTTTTCTCCTTTTTTTGTCTTTTTTTTCTTTTTTTTTCTTTTTCTTTCCTTGTCTCCTTGTTTATGTGTCTCCTTTTATTGTCTCCTCCCTTTATTGCCTCTTTTTTTTTTTTGTCTCTTTTTTTTGTCTTTTTTTTTTGTCTCCTTTTTTATTTGTCTCCTTTTCTTCATAAGAGGAGAGAGAAGAAGGTAATTGAAAGAGACAGCTACTAAATCCTTCATCATCTTCTTCCTCATCGTCATCAGCAGCAGCAGCAGCAGCAGCACGAGCAGCAGCAGCAGCAGCTGCAGCACGAGCAGCACGAGCACCAGCACCACCTCCTGCTGCTGCTAACCCTCGTGATCCAGCAGCAGCAGCAGCAGCAGCAGGTAACCTAGTAGGTAGAAATCTTGAGCTGCTGTTGTGTCTCCTTCGTCCACCTAAAAGAGACACATAGCAGCAGCAGCAGCAGCAACAGCAGCAGCGCATGCAGCATCAGCAGCAGAAAGAAAGAAATAACAGCGCATGCAGCAGCAGCAGAACTCTCTTTCTCTACTCAGCAAGAGAGACAAAAACAACACTCTAATGGATTAATTGCTACTATTGCTGCTGCTGCTGCTGCTGCTGTTGCTGCTGCTGCTGCTGCTGCACTTACCAGCAATGGATCTTTTCTTTGCTGGCGGTTCCATCAAGGAAGCAAGATCTACACACAAAGACACAACATTTATTTATTTATTTATTTATTTATTTATTTATTTATTTATTTATTTATAAATAATTAATTAATTAATTAAATTATACTGCTACTGTTGCTGCTGCAGCAGCTGCAGCAGCAGCAGAGAAAGAAGAGACAGTAAAAGGAGACAAACCTTCTTGTAGATCTAATACAGTTGATGCTGCTGATGGGACTGCACATACACACCAACAGCAGCAGCAGCAGCAGCAGCAGCAGCATGAGCAGCAGCAGCAAGAGCAGCAGCAACAACAGCAGCAGCAGCAGCACCATCACCAGCAACAACAAAAACAGCAACAATAACACCACCACCACCAACAGCAGCAGCAGCAGCACCACCACCACCACCACCAGCAACAACAACAGCAGCAGCAGCAACAGCAGCAGCAGCAACAGCAGCAGCAGCAACAGCAGCAGCAGCAACAGCAATTACCTCTAACATTAAGAAGCATTTGTTGCATTTTTGCTGCTAATGTTGCAGGTGTCTCCTTTTGCTGCTGCATGCATGCAATTAATTGGGGATCGTCTTGGAGACGATCCCCAATATATTTTATTAATTCTTTATAATTTATATCTTTTATTGTCTCCTCTTCCTCCTCTTCCTCTTCCTCTTCCTCCTCTTCCTCCTCTTCCTCCTTCTCCTCTTCTTTTTCTTCTTTTTCTTCTTTTTCTTCTTTTTTTTCTTTGTTTTTTCTCCTCTTTTTCTCCTTATTAAGTGTCTCCTTTAGTGTCTCCTCTAATTTATTTATATCTATCTCCTCCTCCTCCTCCTCCTCCTTCTTCTTCTTATCTGTCTCCTTCTCCTCCTTCTTCTTATCTATCTCCTCCTTCTTATCTGTCTCCTCTTCCTCCTCCTTATCTGTCTTCTCCTTTTTTTTCTTTTTTTTCTTCTTTTTTTCCTTCTTTTTATGTCTCTCCTCCTCCTCCTCCTCCTCCTCCTCCTCCTCCTTCTCCTCCCTATTAACTGTCTCCTTATTACCTGTCTCCTCCTCCTTCTCCTCCTTCTCCTCCCTATTAACTGTCTCCTCCTTATTAACTGTCTCCTCCTTATTAATTGTGTCCTCCTTATTAAGTGTCTCCTCCTTATTAGTTGTCTCCTCTTCCTCCTTATTAACTGTCTCCTCCTTATTAACTGTCGTCTCCTCTTCCTCCTTATTAGGTGTCTCCTCTTCCTCCTTATTAACTGTCTCCTCTTCCTCCTTATTAGGTGTCTCCTCCTTATTAGTTGTCTCCTCTTCCTCCTGATTAGTTGTCTCCTCTTTGTGTGTATGTATTTCCTTAAATATTTCCCTAAGTGTCTCCTCATCAATTGTCTCCTCTTCCTCTTCCTCTTCTTCCTCTTCCTCTTCTTCTTCCTCCTCTTCTTCCTCCTCTTCTTCCTCCCCTTCCTCCTCTTCTTCCTCCTCCTCCTCTTCCTCCTCCTCCTTCCCCTCCCCCTCCTCCTCCTCCTCTTCCTCTTCCTCTTTTTTTTTCTTCCTCCCTGTCTCCTTATGTGTCTCCTTATGTGTCTCCTTATGTGTCTCCTTATGAGTCTCCTTTTGTGTCTCCTTTTGTGTCTCCTTTTGTGTCTCCTTTTGTGTCTCCTTTTGTGTCTCCTTATGTGTCTCCTGTATATTATATTTATTAAGAATTGCCTGTAGGGTAAGCTGCTGCTCTTGGTCAATAATTTGCTGCACTTCTTGTCTGCATGCAGCAGCAGCAGCAGCAGCATCAGCAGCAGATGCATAAAAAGAATTATTTATTCCTTTCTTCTTCTCTTTCTTTATTGCATGCAATAAATCCTTTCTTGTCTTATTATATAAATAAGATAATTCTTTTGCTGCTGCTGCTGCTGCTGCTGCTGCTGATTCTCTATCCTTTATTGTCTCCTCCTCTTTCTTACTCTCCTCTAACCAAGGAGACACTTTCTTTCCTCCTCCTCCTGCTGCTGCTGCTGCTGCTGCTGCTGCTGCATCTATTTGCTGCTGCTTATCCTGTATAGCTTTTATTTCCTTCTCTACTGCCTCAGGAGACACCTCAATGTCTCCTTCTTCTCCCTCTGCTGCTGCTGCTGCAGTTGCTGCTGCAGTTGCTGCTGCAGTTGCTGCTGCAGTCTTTCTTTCTGTTGCAGTCGTTGCTGCTGTTGCTGTTGCTGCTGTTGCTGCTGCTGCAGTTCTCTCTTCCTTACGTATATCAGTACTACTACTACTACCAGCAGCAGCAGGAGTAGGAGACCATTGCTGCTGCTGCTGTTGCTGCTGCTGCTCTTTTAGCTGCTGCAGTTGCTGCTGCAGTTGCTGCAGAGGTACCTGTTTAATAGTAGGTATACCTCCATGACCAAAGACAGGAACATCAGCAGCAGCAAGTCCTGCTGCTGCTGCATGCATAGCAGCATCCTGCTGCAGCTGCTGAGGTGTCACTACACCCGGCATCTCCTTAAGAAGTTGACGAGCTTCTTGTATAGATAAATCATCAGCACTCTGACGAATAAATCTGCAGCAGCAGCAGCAGCAGCAGCAACAGCAGCAGCAGCAACAGCAGCAACAGCTCGTCGTCGTCGTGCAGCAGCAGCAGCAGAAGCAGCAACAGTAGATATATAATAATCAAGGAGACACCATATATTAACTATACAAATAAAAAGGAGACACTATACTATATAACAAGGAGACACTTATATATATATAAAGATAAAAAGGAGACAAATAAATAAATAAATAAATAAATAAATAAATAAATAAATAAATAAATAAATAAATAAATAAATAAAATAAATAAAATAAATAAATAAAATAAATAAACAAATAAATAAAATAAATAAATAAAACAAGTGAATAAATAAATAAATAAACAAATAAATAAATAAAGTAAATAAATAAATAAATAAATAAATAAATAAATAAATAATATAAATAAATAAATAAATAAAATAAATAAACAAATAAATAAATAAATAAATAAATAAAATAGATAGAATAAATTACCTAGGGTGTCTCTTTCTTGCTTTTCTTTCTTCTTGTTGTATAATAAATAATTGTCTGCGTCTCCTTTCTGCTGCTAATAGGGACAATCCTTCCTCTATATCTGCTGCTGTATATCCAGGGAATAGTACCTTTAGCTGCTGCGGTGTCACTGCAGCAGCAGCAGCAGCAGCAGCAGGATTAGATAATGGTGTGTATGTATATCCTCCTAATGCTGCAGGAGGAGATACGGAGACACCATACGTGTTTGCTGCTGCTGCAGCAGCAGCAGCAGAACCTTCTCCTTCTCCTGCTGCTGCTGCTGCTGCTGCTTTTGCTGCTCTCTTCTTCCGGTGTCTCTCCAACAACTTTAGTGCAGCACCAATCTTTGCTAACTTTTCTTCAGGTGTCTCCTCTCTTGTTCCTGCTGCTGCTGCTGCTGTCCCTGCTGCTGCTGCAGGCATCGATTGCTGCCGCCACTTCAGCAGCCGCTGCACCTCTTCCTCAGGTCGTGTAGTTAGCTGCAGCCTGCAGCAGCAGCAGCAGCAACAGCAGCAGCAGCAGCAGCAGCAGAAAGGATAACAACACTGGCGGTGTTTTTGTGTCCTGGTGTCTCCTCAATGCCGCTGCTGCAGCAGCAGCAACAGCAATAGCAACAGCAGCAGCAACAGCAGCAGCAGCAGCAGCAACAGCAGCAGCAGCGCATGCATGCATTACCTGTTACGTGCTGTATCTACTTCTAATATACGTATTCCCTTAATAATATCTCCTGGTTTGCTGTTGAGCATTTGCTGCTTCCTGCTGCTGCTGCTGCTGCTGCTGCTGCTGCTGCTGCTGCCTCGTGCTGCTGCAGATACACGAAAAGAGATCCTGTCTCCTTTAGAGGGACGAAAGTTATTATACAGGGAGGAGACATCTTGGTTGCTGTCCTCTCTACCCATCTCATGCTGCAGCAGCAGCAGCAACAGCAGCAGCAGCAACAGCAGCAGCAACAGCAGCAGCAACAGCAGCAACAGCAGCAAAAGAGTTGGTGGGCCGCTTATGGAAAGGAGACACTTTTATATCTTTATAAGAAAAAGGAGACACAAAAAAGGAGACAATTAAACAAAAAAGGACACAAATAAATAAATAAATAAATAAATAAATAAAAATAAATAAATAAAAAGGAGACAAATAAATAAATAAAAAGGAGACAAATAAATAAATAAATAAATAAAAAGACAAATAAATAAATAAAAAGGAGACAAATAAATAAATAAAAAAGGAGACAAATAAATAAATAAAAAGGAGACAAATAAATAAATAAATAATAGACAAATAAATAAATAAATAAAATACAATTAAATAAATAAAAAGGGAGACAAATAAACAAAAAAGGAGACAAATAAATAAATAAAAAAAAACAATTAAATAAATAAAAAAGGAGACAAATAAATAAATAAAAAGGAGACAAATAAATAAATAAACAGGAGACAAATAAATAAAAAAAAAAGGAGACAAATAAATAGATAAAAAAGGAGACAAATAAATAAATAAATAAATAAAATAAATAAAAAAGGAGGCAAATAAATAAAAATAAATAAGAATTGTCTCCTCCTCTTACTGCATGCAAGAATGCATCTTCTACAGCCCCAACATCTATAAATATACCAAACTCTGTGCAGCGCAGCACTGTCCCCTCTACCTCCTGTCCTGCCTGCAGCAGCAGCAGCAGCAGCAACAGCAACAGCAGCAGCAACAGTAAGAGGAGGAGGAGGAGGAGCAGCAGCAGCAGCAGTAGACGCAAATTGACGGAGACAGCAGCAACAGCAAAAGTGTCTCCTTTTGGATTTTTTTAATTCCTAGCAGCAGCAGCAGCAGCAGCAGCAACAGCAGCAGCAGCAACAGCAGCTGCTGCTGCAGCAACACAATCATCAGCAACAGCAGCAACAGTAGCAACAGCAGCAACAGCAGCAGCAGCAGATTACCCAGAATGCCTGTAACTGTTTCCTATAGTTCTCCCCCCCTACAGAGACACCTGAGGAGACACCTGAGGATACACCTGAGGATACAGCTGGGGAGACAGCTGAGGAGACAGCTGAGGATACACCTGAGGATACAGCTGGGGAGACAGCTGGGGAGACAGTAGATAGACGAATAATTTTATTATATTTATTAATATATTTAATAAAAAGAGACAAAGTGTCTCCTTTTTGCAGCAAATCCTCTGCATGATTAATCCATCCTTTATTCTCTATTAATTTATTTTCTGCTGCTGCTGCTCTTTTTGCTGCTGCTGCTGCTGCAGCAGCAGCAGCAGGACCTATACTTAATAAATAATTATATCCTCCTCTTATACAGGAGACAATATTATGCATGTCCCTTACATGCAGCATACCTAAGGTGTCTATACACCCTATATCTATACGGCAACCATAAGGAGCTGTATATATTACCTATAAATAAATAAATAAATAAATAAATAAATAAATAAATAAATAAATAAATAAATAAATAATATTAATTAATTAATTAATTAATTAATTATTATTATTATTTAATAAGGAATTATTTATATTTAAGAAAAGAAGAGACAAAAAAGGAGACAAAAAAAAGAGACAAAAAAAGGAGACAAAAAAAGGAGACAAAAACGGATAGAAAGAGGAGAGACAAATAAAAAAAAAAAGAGAGAGTATATTATATTAAATATAATATAATAAATAAATAAATAAATAAATAAATAAATAAATAAATAAATAAATAAATAAATAAAATATAACCCTAAATATAATATAATAAATAAATAAATAAATAAATAAATAAAATATAAAACTAAATAAATAACTAAATAAATAAATAATTAAATAACTAAATAAACCAATAAAATAAATAAATAAGCAAATAAATAAATAAATAAATAAATAAAATAAATAAATAAGCAAATAAATAAATAAATAAATAAATAAATAAATAAGCAAATAAATAAATAAATAACTAAAATAAATAAATAAATAAATAAATAAATTAATTAATTAATTAATTAATTACCTTTCCTATAACTTGTGTATTTTCTTTAAAATTTTGAATTGGCAATCGACGATGACGAGGTAATAAATAACAAGACTAAAAAAAAAAAAAAAAAAAAAAAAAAAAAAAAAAAAAAAAAAAAAA